GTTTATTGTTTTGAATATGCTAAATTTTCAATGTTGGTTTTAAATTACATTACGTTTGTCTTTGAAATATACATAAATAAATAAATTCAAATATATAAATTAATAAGTGTTTAATATTTTCTTGAAAATATTATAATAAGAGTTATGAAATATTCCTCTAGTTTTATATTATACCATGTATTCACTATATGATATAAGTTAAAAAATATATAATTAATTTTATAAAAGAAATTATAAAATTATTTATAAAGTTATACTATATTTAAAAATTAAAAAAAGAGAGATTAATAGTTACATTTTAGTGCCATTTATAATTTAAATAAATAATAATTTTTAAAATAGTTTTTATACGTTTTAATACAAACGTAATTTTATTAGAACAGAGCCTCCTAATTATTCGAGACGACCATGGTTATACTATCGGTCAAATTACAAATTAAAAGCTTATAATAACCGCAACAAACCTAATGTGTGTGATTATATATTTATTGTCAAAGATTATAGATTAATTACTACAAATCAAACTGCATAATGCACAATGTTATACTAACGGTCATATTTTTTATAACAGAGCTATCAACTTTCATTAATTCGAAAGTAAGTTACATTAACAATTTTCATTATTACATCAAGTTAGTTATATTGCCATAGAATATAACAAAGTAAATTCACAAACAAATAACTATTTCTATTAAAAACTTCATATTCTTCCTTAGACTTTTAACCTTTTTCTTCACCTCTTCAATCTCTTTTGAACATATTTGAGTCTCATATTATTTTAAAAATTCTTTTCCGAGATCCTTATCAAATTTCCTCAATTACTCTATCATCATGTCACACTTATTTCATCCATCATCATCTTTTGGAGTTTTTTTTTCCTTTCAGTTAAACAAAAATACTCATCATCTTAGTGAAATAACTCACAGTCTTCCTCTTTTTGCACAAGCAATTTAATATTACAGATTGGAGAAGATAATTGTGTATAAAATATAGAGAAGAAAATAAATTAGAGATCTTACCCCCTAATACTTGCACTTGCAGTATTTTTTTCTTGAGTTTGCAATAGACTTTGAAACAAACAACTTCATAAAAAGATCATTCCATATATGAGAGTGATTATTCCATTTGAACGCCTGTTTGAGTTTAAGTTTGTTGCCATTTTCATGAAGGAACAAATGCAGGACCAAGAGTAGCCCATATATGGACACGAAGATAGAATAGATAAGAGAAAGAAACTTCAACGACTCCAATGACAGAAAGGGAAAAAGGATATGAACAGACTAAGGGTCCTGGTAGAAATTGATGGTCAAAGAATTACATTTTAACCATGAGGAAATGCCACATGTATTGAATTTCAAATGAAAAATGGTTAAAATTTACAACATGTACATGTCATGTCAAAAACTTTATTGACTTGGTTTAATGAATAACGAAAAGAACAAAATTTTGAAATGTTAAAGATGGAATCAAAATCTTTTTTACGGATTTTTCAAAGTTCACCTATATGACAGAGAGCAAATTATCTATAAACCATATAAAGAAAAATGCAGTAAATAATATAATGCAAAGAGAAATAAAGAATAAAGGAGTTAGCAATTAGAGCTCTTTAAAGAATGCAATTGCAAAAAAAAAAAGGGATTCAACATAAAAAGCAAAGATAGACTAAAGATATGCACGTAACATCGAAGACAATTTTTTTCTACATAAAACAACAAATGTAAAGAGAAATTAATGAAATAACAATTTATAACATCAAATAAAATGTAAACTATAATCTACACTAGATAGATGAATACATGAAAGTATTAAACAAATAAAAAAAATGCAAAAAAGGAATACATGTCTGATTTTTGAAAAGTGTGATATAAGATAACGTGAAAGAATGAAAAATAATAGAAAGTTGTGATAAATTTTACAAAAGAAGTATATAATGTAAAGGTTAAAGTATGAAAAACAACAAGTAAAACAACTTTAAGTATACAGATATATTTACCGCATCCTTTTTGGCTAGGGTTAGACTATGTAATGCATTATTACATTCAAAATGGTTTTTTGTTCACCTTTATATAAAAAAAAATATTGTGGTTATTTAGGGCTCATTCAATGGTGATAATATTTTTTTTTAATTTTAATTTTGAAAGTAAAATTTAAAACTAAATTTGTTTCAACAAAAAAATATTTGATTTGGTATTTTAATCTATTTCAAAATAGTTTTTTTAATATTGAAACTTAATATAACAAAAAAGATTTTAAAACTTTTATTTTAAAGTTAAGACACTCCCACCAATGGTTGTCGATCACTATTTCAATCACTATTATGAATATCATATCGACCACCTTTAGTCAGGGCCGTCTTTGAGGGTGTGCAAGGAGACCTACAACATAGGACCTCACTTTTTGTTTATTGATTAATCTATGGAAAAAAGGGCCTTTATACACATATTTCACAACTATTTTACGGTTAAATAGGGTCTCTTAGAAAAATTTCACCACTTAAGTGAAGGTAACTTCAATTTTTTACACAGGACCTCCTAAAAGTTTGAGACGACTCTGCCTCTAGCCACCACCAAACACCTCTCAACACTACCAAACACCTCTGATCATTATTCTAACCATTAGAATCACTTTAAACCACAACTTAAATCACTTATGATCTCGAATGTGACCACCGCCAACCACCAATTTGGTCACATCAACCACCACTATAACTATTGCCAACTGCCATTATTACCATCGTTAACCATCGTCGAACATCACTCTAACCATTGTCTGACCATTTCATCCACTAGTCACCGTCACTAACTACCACTATTGTTGGAGTTGATTCAATGGGTCAATACGATGGAACATTTTTACTTTGGAGACTTTTCTTTTATGAGCAATACACCTTATGAGAGACATACAACTAGGGGTGTCAACGTGGCAGGGAATGTACGGAGAATGCTTCCTTGTTTCTCGCCCCGCCCCCTAATTTTTTCCTTATCTCCATGCCCGATCCCCGCCATAGGGGAATATTTTTCCCCATCCCCATCTCCGGCGGATCCTCACGGTATCCACGGGGATCCACAAATTTCAAATTTTAATTTTTTTAAAATATTTTTTCTGATCAAAATTGTGAGATTAGCATTTCATTGTTTTTTTTAAAACATATATTTTGTATATTTATTATCTAAAAAAACATATTGCATCACTAACAAAAAATGTAAAAGCAACTGTAGTTGCTAATTATTTTTCTTGCTATCATGCATAATCTCATAATGCGTAGAAAAATAGGAAGTTGGAATTGTCAAATATCCAAAATAAAATACTAATAAATATCCCATAGTGAAAGCAAAATAGAATTGGATGAGAATCCAAAATATTAAAGCAATCACCCAATAAAAGTTATATCTGAAGTTACTTTAAACAAAGTTAATCTAAATAAACCAAAACATAAAGAAATTATCAAAGAAAGTCGTGGTATCATCTCCATCTTTCCGACTTTTCATGATAGGTCTTCATCACTATTCCACAATCATGCTTTACTTTCTTTTTCCTACAAAAATTAAACACTTGATCACATCTACAAGTACAAATAATTTTAAGACTTGAAATTAGCCAACAATAATATTTACATTACCTCATCATCGTCATCCTCCATATCCTCATCAACACATTCGAATGAAGCAAGTGTCTTTGAATAACTTAAGCCTAATAAATAAATAACTAAAATACATTAAAAAATAATTATGGTTATAACAATGATAAATAGGTGATGAATTTAATATAAATTATATCACCTTGCATTTCTTTTCAGAACTAATCTTAGGTGCACATTCAAACCTCTAAAATGTCTTCCCTAAATATATGTGTAAATTCTCGCATTTATAAATGTTCAAATATTTACATTTCTAACCAATGTAAAATCTTCTCATACTACTCATATTTGTTATTCTCCACAACTATAACCACCACCATAAACCACAAATGATCATATCCACCAATTACCACTTACTACCACCGACTACCATCACTCTAACGACTAATAATCATCACTATGATATGCATTCATTGACACCCACCATTTTTAATCATTATTATTAAAATTAATGTTAAACAAATAAATTATATATTTCATAATATTTTAATTATTTTACATTCCTATTATTATGAATAGTTTGAATTAAGATGTGTTTATATTAAATAACATTTTTATATTTATATGAAATTGATTTTGGCTTTTGAAAAATTCACAATTAAAAATTAGAATTAATTTTTTTTAAAAAAATATAAAATTAAAAAAAACTTAATTTTAATTTTTAAAAATTTCAAAATAAAAAACTTAATTATTTTTAACACTCTTATAGTTACTTTGATTTGGAGAAAAAAACATATTAGTAACTAACTTTTATGTTATAATAATTTGATAGAAATAGTAAACTGTTATTTTATAAATTTTTAAATTATTTTGCATATATTAAAAAAAATTTGACTCTAAATTTGAACTTTATGTGTATTAATGTTTTAAATGAGAGGCAAGAGTCCATCCTGTGTCTCCCATATTTGGTGGAGATTAGCTAATGCTAAATGGTGATAGAAATTTAACAACAACAATAATAATAAAATAATAATAATAATAATAAATTATTATCTGTTTTGTGATAGTGAAAATTACCGTGGAAGCTTTTTCCCTAAATGTAACCCTGTAAGGAACGAAAGCGTAAGCTGAATCCGCCACCTGAACAATTTCACTCACTCTCTTCTTTCTCTTCTACCTATACATTCTGAATCTACTACTCCATTTTTCTTCTTCCGATTTCGATCTATTTCAACTTATTCGTATACGTATATTCGCATTTTGAACCTGCTTCACTTCAATCGGAAACGGTAACCTATTATGATTCAGTAATTTTAAATTCTAGGGTTTACGTGTTTTGAACCTTCAAATTAAGAACGTAGTTGAAGAAGAAGATAACCCTAGTTTTATTGATTTTTAAATTTTATTTTAATATTAATTAGGAATGGCCTCTTATAGGCCTTTCCCACCTCCGCCGGCGAGTCAAAACCCTATCGCACAACCACCACAACCACCACTGCATCCGAGAGGTGGTAATAATAATTGGGGTGGTTACGGTTACAGTGGTGGTGGTGGTGGTGATTCGTCTACTTCATTCCCTCAAATACCTCCTAATTCAAATTATCAACATCATCACCATCATCATGCTCCTCCACCTCCACCACCTTCAAATTACTATCCATATCCACCACCACCACCTCCGCCTCCTGATAATTCATATCAGCCACCGCCGCCACCACCGTCAGCTCCTATGTATTATCCTTCTAACAATCAATATAATCATCAACAACCACCACCTCCGCCTCCTCCTTTGTCACCGGGTTCTTCCATGCCACCTCCACCTCCTCCTCCTCCTCCAACCTCCCCGCCTCCCCTTTCTCATAACAACGATGAAAGAGCAATCAACAAAGGGTCATCTGGCAGGCGTGACGGAGTTTCACATAGACAGCAGCAAAAGCCTTCTCATCCGCATCCTCCAAGGAAGGTTGAGACGGATGAAGAGAAGAGGATGAGGAAGAAGAGGGAGTTTGAGAAACAAAGGCAAGATGAAAAACATAAGCAGCAGAAGAAGTTGAAGGAATCACAGAATAGTGTTCTGCAGAAGACTCAGATGGCTTCATCTGGGGGGACTGGAAAGGTGCATGGTTCTATTGCGGGGTCTCGAATGGGAGAGAGGAGAACTACTCCCTTGTTGAGCAGCGAGAGGGTTGAAAATAGATTGAAGAAGCCGACCACTTTTTTGTGTAAGCTCAGGTCAGTATTTCTAAGATATGTCACCCTTAGTTAGTTAGTTAGTTAATTGGGTTACTCTTTCTCTATAATCTGATCCAGTTCCTTTAGATTCAGATCAAATTTTTTAGTTGATGGTCTTTTTTTTTGTATGAACACTGCTCATGGTTTTATTGCTTTTGATGTCTGGTGTCAAATTGTGTTTTCTTTAATCTTAATTGTACTATTATTTTCTCCCAAATAATTTTACTTTTTCTTGGTGCTTGTAATTGTAATGACATCCATGCCTAAAAGTAGATTACTCGAGTACAGTGTCAAAAGAACCTCACTTAGTGGGATAAGATTTATTTGTTGTTGTTGTTGTAATAGTAATGATTCACAAGGCAGAAAAGTGGTGTAATGTTATTAATTGATGATGTATCATGTATTATTTCATCTAATGGCGTTTGCTTCCATTGCTGACAAATTTTTATGTGTATTCTTGTTGAAGATTTCGAAATGAGCTTCCGGATCCAACTGCACAACCTAAGTTAATGGCATTCAAGAAAGATAAAGATCAGTATGTTATCTCATTCTCGTGTTTACCATTAGTATGTAGCTACCACAACCTATCTATTTGATTGATGGGATGTTGAATTTGAATTTTATCATATTTTTTGCCACTTTAATAACAAAAGTTTTATTTTCATTCCAATGGTAACTGGTCAGTGATGAGTGTTCGAGAGGGCGGGGGAGTTAAAGAGGATAACTGATACCTGAACAAGAAATCTGAGTAATATATTATGGTCGACTCTTGATGGGGGAATCTCTAGCTAGGATGTATAAATTTGGTATTTGATGACACATTCCCTGAGGAAAGTAATTTGTGACTGTCTGATTGAAATGTCACACAAGTTAGTCTTTTTGTGTTAACAAACCATGCTAGATTCAATGCTCGACATTTCTAGCCCATCATATCAAAGACTCTTATCACTTCTTGCATTTATTCACAGTGTTCTATTTTGGGGGCGGGGAAGGGGGTGGATACACACACTTAAATCATTTAGTTAACAGAGACAAGGGAAAACTATACGGGGCTGTAAAAGAGATTGTTTTTCAAATGGACATCTCTTTAAGATGTCAAAATTGTGTGTGGAACTGATATTTCTGAATTTTGAAGCTTTATGGCTACATGTGATGCACTAATCAGCATTATTGTAACGCATTATTTTGATGATTCTTTTGGAATTAAGTTTCTAGACTTGTATTTGTATGCGCTTCTTATAAACAACTGTATGATTGTTCAGATATGCAAAATATACAATCACGTCTCTGGAGAAAACGTACAAACCCAAACTTTTTGTGGAGCCTGATCTTGGGATACCTCTGGACCTGCTTGATCTCCTTTTCGATGTTCTTCCGAAATGTTCTGATGTTGTCTCTCCCTATATGTTTTCTGGTGAGTCCTGAAGATCCCGCTCGATCTCTTCAAGGAATGTCCCGAAAATTCTAGCGTCTGTCGTTTACCTGGTCCTGCCTCCGTGTGGATCATATGTTACCTTGTTACCACCGCGTGTCTTCTTCCCCAGTGCATTTCCTCGTTGCGCCGTCCCCTGTGACGTTGTTTCGTCTGCATCCGTGCATTTTTTTCATTTTCATCATACGCATCATATTAGATTCATGGCATTGTCAGCATTATAGTTCGTGTTATTTTGTCCATATCATTGCATATCACTACATCTAGGGGCCAAATTTCCGGTTATCTGTATTTAAATCCCTTTCACCGCGATTTCTCGAGTCTCCGCTGCTCAAATCATCCGGTGAAGCTATTTAAATAGGGGCATCTGTTGCACCCCAAATTTGTCCTACCTTTACATAGTTTCTAGTGCCACTTTATTTTGAATGAATAAAATGGCACAATTGGCAAGAGACCGTGTGTAAGGAGTTGTGAGTGTGAGAGGTCGAGAGTTCAAATCCCACCTTCTTCACTTTTTGTTTTTCTTTTATTTTTATTCTAACTTTTCTATTTTTATAAAAAAAAATAACAAAATAGTTTTTTTATTATTTAATTATTATTTTCGTATTTTATTTAAATTATTTTTTAAAAAATATTATTTTTTCACTTTTTTCCATATTATTCATAAAAACATCCAAAAATCATAAAATTAAAAATATTAGAAAATATTTTATTCTTTTAAGTTTGTTTTAGTTTGTTTTTTAGTTTTGACTAATTATTTAAGTTGGACTTTAAAATAGGCATTAGGTTAGAGTTAACCCTAATTTGTTACCTATATAAACATGAGTTGCATTTGATAATGGAGAAGGAGACAAAAGAGAAAAACGGCGGCCGTTCTCACGATTTATCAGAAGAAGGAATTTTTTTGGAAGAACCCTAACAAGTTTGAATTCATCATCGGCCAAGCGCTACCGGCGAGCAAAAAGTCCCAACGGCGGAGGCTCAGTTCGTTCAACATCATCGTCGTTACCGTAAGCTTTCTCTTTCCTTTGATTTACGGCATTTTATGATTTTTGTGTGTTGTTTTGTTCATTGATTGTAGATTAATGGGAAGAATAAATAGAAGATGACATGCAAGGATTGAAGGAGAGGAAAAGCTTCGATAGTCATCCAGGGAGAAAACGGCAGAAGCCTTTTTATTTACGTTTCATTTTTTTATTTTATTATTCAATTGTTTATTTTTTCATTTGTATTAACTATGTAGTTTGTAATTAATAATGCAATTAAGTTTAGGTAAGCTATTTCAACAACAAAAAAAAAACATAACGTAATCAGTTTTTAAAAAATTAAGATCTTTCTAAAAAGTTTTTTCAAAAATTAAATCATTTTTTATTTAAAAACATATTTCTAAATAAAACAGTTTTTCTTAATTAAAACTTTTTTCCAATTAAAACCATTTTTCATTAAGTTAACACAAAAATTAAAAAATGACCTTTCTTTCACTAAAACAAAAATTAAAACCTTTTTCGTTGAATTTAAATCAAATTTTTTCATTAAAATTTAAAACATTTTTTTAATTAAAATTTAAAACATTTATTTTCGATAACATTAAAACATTTTTTTTCAAGACATTTTTTCATTAAAATTAAAACCAGTTTCTTTATTAAAATTTTTTAGTAAATAATTAGAATAGTTTCTCCATTTAAGCATGAAATTAATTCTCCTCTCCGCTTCTCAATATAAACTCAAAAAGAAATAAGTTGTGATTTAGCCGTTTCATTTTTGTCTAACCCTCGTTAATTTGTTTGTTTCAACTCGTTATTATTTCATTTGTTCGTTTTTGTTCCATGGATGTAATTTACGCGAGGCCATGGTCGCAGTTATTTTATTTTGCATTTTTTGGGAATTTGTAATTTACGCGAGTGATCGTCGCGATGTTTTTTTTACCGCTTTCTTTATTTTTCCGCACTTTAATTCTGCCGAATAGTAATTTGTCGTATTTTGCATGTTTTTACCGTTAGAATCCCTCCGAAGGAATTAGGTCTAGCTGTTTGACCGCCGAGTCAATAACCCTAGTTTTAGCCGTCTCAAACCCTAATTAACCTAGGCGTCCCGCCGTGGACAAAAGTACCCTTTACCCTAGTTTTAGGTCAAAGAGTCGCCGTACTTTGTTTTAGGGTTTCCCGCCGTGGAATCCCTAATTTCAACCCTAAATTTTTAATTAACAAATTCAACGTAGAAATAGGAGTTTCAAAGACTCCACATAAGCGTGTCCTTAAGATACGTTTATTCCCCATTGAAACCTTGACCACAGTCAAGACGTTTCTAACCTCCCTTTCGAGGGGAACTACAATTACTCTGATTCCATTCCCGTCAGGATATGTAGGCACAAGATGCGACGTCTTGCCGAGTAAACTGAGAACTAACCGTTAGCTCTTTTAGGTCACTCTATCCCTTAACAATATATTTCAAACAGATAATAAAATAAAAAAGCATACAATAAACAAAAGGTTCCTGTAGAGTACTACAGAAGTTTAGGGTGCTAGTACTTTCCCTAAGCTTAACCAACCCCTTACCTAGATCTCTCCCCGCATTGTCTTTACGATGCAAAATTAGGTTTTCCTCTTTTGACCTTTTCCTTCAGATAAATCAAAGAGCGGTTGTGAACTAAAGATGCGATTCAAATTAATTAATAATTTGATATCATATTCTAACCGCAACAACGTCGTACAGTTTCCTTGGTCTATTGCCATTTACCTAAGGTACACTAGATCCGGGTTAGGACCTTTCACACATAAGAGCACCCCAACAATATAATAATAAAGCAAACAAGGCAAACAATTTAAAGTGATCTTAATTCCTAAGGGTACCCCTCTTAAATAGATCCCCAGCAGAGTCGCCAGTTCTGTAACACGGTGGGAGAACTGACTTTAAACAATGTTGCGGATAGCAAGAGTCGCCACCGACTTTTATTTTATCCATAAGGAAAGGTTATAAAAGAACAGGAAAGACCTTAGAGAATATTTTGGGTCCGGGGGGTAGGTTATGAAAAGGGAAGGTGTTAACACCCTTTTCATCCATGGTTATCCATGGGCTCTTAGGTACTTAAGCTCACTTTTGAATTGTTTTGAAAGTGTAGTGTGTGAATAGCAAAAAATTTCAGAATAGTTTAATAATAATCCGTGTATGGATGTGAAAAAAAACTTGTTTGAAAATTTTGTTGGAAATTTGTTTAAGTGTGAAAAAGTTTTGAAGTGAGCAAGTACCTAGGAGTAACCTACCCTAATGTTTAAAGGTCTTTCTTATTCTTTATTCTTTCCTTTAGTAAGACTATCCCTACTATAATGGAGTAGGTAGTCCTTACTTTGGATGTTAAGGGACATGTGAGGGACAATTGGATTTTTGAAGGCCATTGTGGGGTGTAATAAGCAAACTGGAGGGACTATCATCATTTTTCGAAAGGGACTCGATTCGTAAAGGCAACCATAAGGGACTTTGATGATTTTTCATTTGAGGGACTTGCTTTATACACCCCACTTAACCATTATTCGTAGGCAACTTGAGGGATATCCTTAGGAAGTGAGACGGCGATTAAAATCGACTTACGTGTGTGAAATGTTTAATTTAATTATCTTATATTAAAATGATCTAATTTATTTTTTTAAATATCATACATATTAGCACTCCCTAATTACTAACCATAATGATAATAATAATTAAGTAATTACAATTTACATCCAAGAGGCAATTACAAAATTATAATAAATAAAAAAAATAACAAATAAGCAAATAAAATATTAGGGTTAGTAAATAATAAGAAAAATTAAATAAGGTTAGTATAAATATAAAGTTAGTGAAAATAATTAGTTGAAACAATAATAATGAGAAAAATAGACAAAGTTAGAAAAAATAATAAGATAGAAATTTCAAAATAATAATAAGCAACAAAATATGATTAGCAATAATAATTAATTAATAACGTGATTAAACATAAGATTTGATTTTTATTTAGAAACATAAATGATTAAATAATTACTATAATATAAAGTTCTAAATATCATAAGATTTGATTTTTATTTAGAAACATAAATGATTAAATAATTACTATAATATAAAGTTCTAAATATCATAAGATTTGATTTTTATTTAGAAACATAAATGATTAAATAATTACTATAATATAAAATTCTAAATATAACATAATTATAAATTTCTTAATCATTTACAAAAATTTAATTATCTCTAATTATATATTAACAATTATTAAGAAAAATATTTACACATTATGATGAAAACAAATTTTAACTAATCAATAATCACATTCACCAAAATTTTACATTAAGTGTTTATAAGGTTTAATTTTATTTACAAAAATTTACAAGAATTATAATAAATATATACATAGAATCATATAGAAAATTAAAATTAGGTTTTCATATTAATTTGGAAAAAAGATGTTAATGTCATTTATTTTAAAAAAACAGATTTTTATATTACAACAAATTTTAATAAATTAATGATAACAATAATAATAATAATGATAATAATGATAATAATAATAAATAATGATAATAATAATAATAATAATAATAATAATAATAATAATAATAATAATAATAATAAAACAATAATGAATTTTAAATGTGCCAAATAACCCAACAATGTTGCTAACGCAGAAATGCGCTCATCGCAACCAGATCTAAATCGGACGAAACAAAATTTATCGCAAAGAAAAAGAAATTAAGCAAAAATAGTATTATTGCTCACACAAAAATGCGATCATCGCAACCAGATCGAACTAACACAAATGTCACGCGTCATGCACACAAATGTGCAAACATCGTATCGACATAATTCGATCAAAAATCTTATATATATAAACTCTAACAATTTAAAAAATTATATATATATAAACGCAACAGTAATAGATAAAGAAAAAGAAATAACGGTAATAGATGAAGAAAAAGAAATAACGGTAAAAGATGAAGAAAAAGAAACAACAGTAATAGATGAA